AAAATATTTCAGAGGTTTTCCCTGACTTTGTCCGTGTCAACAAACAATTCGAAATACCTCGACTTTTTAGAACATGTCCGAGTCAAATAGAAATGATTTGAAGCACTTCTTTTTACACTATTTCGGAAACCCAAGGACTCAATCGTATGGATATGCAAAATACATGATTTCCAATCCTAGCAGGAAAAGGAGAGAAAAGGATACTCAATTTAAAGTGAGTTATACAAATTCATAATAGATTTGATCTAGATTAAATGAAATCCATGATTCATTATATTACTTATTAAATACATGTATATTTTCATTCAAATTATATTCTATCTTAATTGAATTCAAAATGTTTAATTTAAATTCATTTTATTCGCGAGGAGCTGGATGAGAAGAAACTCTCACGTCCAGTTCTGTAGTAGAGATGGAATTAAAAAAAAACCATCAACTATAACCCCAAAAGAACCAGATTTCCTAAATAACATAGAGGAAGAATGAAGGGAATATCTTATCGAGGTAATGCTATTTGTTTTGGTAAATACGCTCTTCAGGCACTTGAACCCGCTGGCATCACATTTAGACAAATTGAAGCAGGTCGACGAGCAATGACACGAAATGCACATCGCGCTGGAAAAATATGGGTCCGTATATTTCCAGATAAACTAGTTATAGTAAGACTCACAGAAACACGTATGGTTTCAGGTAAAGGCTCTCCCGAATATTGGGTAGCTGTTGTTAAACCAAGTCGAATACTTTATGAAATGGGTGGAGTAACAGAAAATATAGCCAAAAGGGCTATTTCAATAGCAGCGTCCAAAATGCCTATACGAGCTCAATTCATCATTTTGGGATAAAAAAGAAATAGGCCTTGGGTAAAAAAAAATAGCGGGTGCGGGTTTCTTTTTTTGGAGAAACAATATTTCTTTTTTTCTTCGACCTTTGTATTGTAAAAAACAAATAAAAAAATAGACAAATTGAAGCAGGTCGACGAGCAATGACACGAAATGCACATCGCGCTGGAAAAATATGGGTCCGTATATTTCTAGATAAACTAGTTATAGTAAGACTCGCAGAAACACGTATGGTTTCAGGTAAAGGCTCTCCCGAATATTGGGTAGCTGTTGTTAAACCAAGTCGAATACTTTATGAAATGGGTGGAGTAACAGAAAATATAGCCAAAAGGGCTATTTCAATAGCAGCGTCCAAAATGCCTATACGAGCTCAATTCATCATTTTGGGATAAAAAAGAAATAGGCCTTGGGTAAAAAAAAATAGCGGGTGCGGGTTTCTTTTTTTGGAGAAACAATATTTCTTTTTTTCTTCGACCTTTGTATTGTAAAAAACAAATAAAAAAATGATATGATTCAACCTCATACACATTTGAACGTAGCAGATAACAGCGGGGCTCGAGAATTGATGTGTATTCGAATCATAGGAGCTAGCAATCACCGATATGCTCATATTGGTGATGTTATTGTTGCTGTGATCAAAGACGCAGTTCCGAACATGCCTCTAGAAAGATCAGAAGTGGTCAGAATTTTAATTGTCCGTACTTGTAAAGAGCTTGAATGTGACAACGGTATGATAATATGATATGATGACAATGTCGTAGTTGTGATTGATCAAGAAGGAAATCCGAAAGGAACGCGAGTTTTTGGTGCGATTGCCCGAGAATTGAGACGGTTCACTTTTACTAAAATAGTTTCATTAGCCCCTGAGGTATTATAAAATTAGAGCACGACATGGTTATAGTAGGGTATTTAGAAAAATATACTAAGATTCATTTAGTAGATTTTGTCTCACGTATATACCATTCAAAATTAATATTCATAAACAAATACGTAAAAAAAACATGTTGATTATATCCAAATTTGGAGGCACCAATAAATTTAATTAATCATGGGTAGTGATACTATTGTTGACATAATAACCTCTATACGAAATGTCAATATGTATAGAAAAAGTGTGGTTCGAGTAGCATCTACTAATATCAGCCAAACTATTGTTAAAATACTTTTACGACAACTCTTCTCAAAATCTCACTCAAAAGGTGCTGAGTTGGAATCCCATTCTAACTAAGGATTCTTGTGGTTCCGGAGGATCCAACTACGATAAACTAGGAACGGAGAGCTTTCCCCCCTTTTCTGCCGACTCTTTGGCCTTAAGAACGTTGGTTTTAAGAATGAGTGATTGCCCTTCTCCGACCCTTACTGCCCAACCTGATAGCGGACAGTTAATGTGTTTCACTTATTGAACAGGGTTCTTTGGTCGGTCTGTGACCCCTGGATGCCGAAGGTGTCCTTGGGGTAATCTCGTAGTTCCTACGGGGTGGAGATGATGGGGTCGGTCCATGAATTTTCATTCCTTTTGTCACATTTTCGCTCAAATGGTTGAAGGGAGATAGTGCATCAAGCTGTTCGCAAGGGCCAACTTGATCCTCTTCCCCAGGGATCCCCGATAAGGGAACCCTAGGAGAGCCGCCGACTCCAACTACCGTCCATGTACGATCCATACTAGATCTGACCAACTGCCCATCCTACCTCCTCTACGTTCTTGAGGTCCTTTACAGCCCATCTTTGTCTCAGTAGAGTCTTTCAGTGGCATGTTTCGGTCCTTTTCCCCATTATTTAGAAAAAGTAAGCCACCGGTTCAGGTACAAGATACTATCATTACCGCCTGGACAATTAGACATCCAACCCATAATTGCAACGACCCAATTGCAAAAGCAGAGCTCTACCAATAGAGTTATATCCCCCCAAGCCAAGTGGAGCATGCGTGAAGGAGTCAGATCCTTCTTCTATTCTTTTCCCCGGCGCAGCTGGGCCATCCTGGACTTAAACCAGAGACCTCGCCCGTGAAGTAAATCATCGCACCTACAGTCCAACCAACTGGGAGAGAATCAATAGATTCCTTTTCGGGAGCGATTCATCCTTCCCGAATCGCGGGATTGCGACCCTTTGTCCCGACCGTTGTAGCACATATGTCGCCCAGGCCATAAGGGGGCATGATGACTTGACGTCATTCTAACCTTCCTTCGGCTTATCACCAACAGTCTGTTCAGGGTTCCAAACTCAATGATGACTTGACGTCATCCTCACCTTCCTCCAGCTTATCCTCATGCCAAAAATATCTATGTTACGCTAGATGTTCTATGGATATAAGTTATTAATACTCCAAATGCTTATGTTTTTTTATTCTGGACCACGCGGGTTATTTGCTTCGATCTCCATTTTTCTACCTGTAGTAGGTATTGGTATGTATCCGGATTTTGTTCTTTCACTATCAGTTGACAAGGTTGAAGGTATTCTATCTAATTATTTTTATAGATAGTTTTCTTAAAGAAAAAAACTCCTATGATTTTTAAGAGTTGGTTGACTAATGAAAAGAAAAAAGAAGAGGAATTTTTATTCTCTTAAATCTTAAATAAAGTAAAAACAAAATATGAATTTGAATTTTCACCAAATATACTTGGTCTTTGCGAGAACCGTGTGAATCACTGCACTACTTGACTTGATTCTTACGGTTGTCGCCGGTTGACACAATGTGTTTTATATACACCGTATTTTGTTTGTATTCTTAAGAACTTTTCTGGAATTTAACTAGAGGTTAACGTGAATTAACCATAACTATGTAGCCTTATTCCAAATAGATTTACCCCAAAATAGCATATCCAAATTATAAGAAAGCCTAGAGTCGCCACAACTGCGGAATTTTCCCCCTGAAATTTTTTATTTGTTGGAATATGCAAATAAATTGCGAATACGATCCAAGTAATAAAGGCCTACGTTTCTGTTGGATCCCAACTCCAATATGATCCCCATGTTTCATTAGCCCATACTGCTCCTCAAAGAATACTTATGGTTAAAAATATAAATCCTAGGCTAATGACACCATAACTCCAATAATCTATTTGTTGAATCAATTGGGCCTTGTAATAATTCTTACCGGACAAAAAGTAATTTTTTTAAAAAATATTGTTTCTTTCATTCTTGTATTGGATTTCACCAAATGAAAAAGACTCATTTAATTTTAAGAAATTATTACTTTTATAACTATAAAAAATCTTTCTAAATGTAATGACTAGATGTCCTACTGATAATAAGGATCCACAAAGAAGAGCCGTATGGCTCAATATCATCACACTTACGTGCATTATTAACCACTCCGATTGTAGAGCAGGTACTAATATTGTGGGTTTACGTATTTCAGTTAAAAGACCCGAAGTAGCAAAGCCCTGGGTAAAAATAGTACTTGAGGCAGTTATTTTGGTTAAATAATTTTTTCTTATTTTGAAATAAAGTACTATATGAATAAGGGAGAAACTCAATGAAAGAAAGATTAATGATTCATATAAATCACTTAGTGGGAAATGGCCCGAATAAATCCAACGAGTGATTAATAATCCTATTAGACATAAAAAAAAAGTAATTATCATCCCCTTTTCTGACAAATCATATGGTTTTATGATTTCATTGCCCGATAAAGTTATCAAATGAATTATAATTACAATTGAAACAATCGAAAAGGAAATATGAGTGAATATATACTCTAAAGTTGAAAAGATCATAAAAATGAAAAAAAAGGGAGGGAATCCCCTAAATTAATATTAATTAAGAATTAGAAATCGGGAATTTAATTTATTTTTATTATAGGATCAATTGGATATCTTTTAGAATATGTCATGTCGCCACTCGGACTCGAACCGAGATGCTCTAGCACTGCTTCCTAAGAGCAGCGTGTCTACCAATTTCACCATAGCGGCTTACTCGAACTAATAATAGCCTATTTATATTCAATCGTCGATATTGAACAAGTCAATTCAATCAAATAAGTTTTTTAGTCAACACTCAAATTGATAAAAAAAATGAGTTCAAAAGTCAATTTGAAGGTTCATTAGTTTCATTTATTAGGGTGTCTGTTTATTTATCTTATATTAGGGCTTTGACGTAGTTTATCATATTCTAAAATCCAACTTTTGTAAGTAGATTATTCTCTCGATAGAATAAAAAAACTTTTTTCATTATTTACTTTTATTGATACTTCATTATTTCTTGTTTATCTGATTTCATAAATTTCAAACTAAAAATAAATTTTCTAAATGAATCCAAAATAGGTTATTTTAGATTACTTCGACACATTATTTGTACATTGACAAATTAGTTATACATAATATCTCAACAATGAAGTTCTTTTATTAATTGGGCTCAAAATTGGAGATATATGGTAAATCCATTATAGATAGTAATTACTAAAAATTATAAAAAATTATAAATTAAGAAGTCATAAAGTTATCCAAAATTTTTTACCATGTAATCCATTAATTTGAACTAAAAATATTATATATGTCATTCCCAAAAAAGAGAAAAATTGTTCATTATTGTAAAAGTCGATAGGGAAAATAAGACTCCCCACCATAAAAATATTAGTGAAAATATACTACAAAGAAATAAAAAATCTTGTATTTTTATTATTATTATTATTATTTTTTTTTGAATTCAGAAAACAGAAGAATTATTTTTAGACATCTTATAAGATGGAAACTTGGTCTATTGCATATTGATTAGAATAGGGACTACCCATTTTTAATTTCATATTAAAAAAGTATTGAGCCAAATTTGTGAGTCAAATCCATTCCGATTATTCCAATATTTTAGGACTCATTTGTTTGTCTTACAAAAAAAAACTTTTTTGAATTCCTAGTAGAAAGAGATTTCCCTAATGACAAGGCTTTTAACGCCTCCCAATATCATTTTCTTTTCCAAATATTTTTACGAATACGCTTTTTTGATATAGAAGTACGTTTTTTGGAACTGCTATTTGAAAATCATTGTTATAGTTGGATGTGAAAGACATCTATTATTCAACACAAATTATTATTTCTTATTCATTATCTATTTTTCTATAAATAATATTCTCTTTATAAAAAAGAAATATAGATATGTGAAAGATCCGTTAAATTGGATCAAAAATTACTCGAAATAATAAAATTTTGATTCCATACAAGATTTGTCAAACCAGAAATTTTTGGTTTGGAACTCTTAGTTCTCTTCTCAAATTTATATATTTAGAATCTGGTAGGTCATAGAAATGAAACTTAAATATTTAATTAAAATAAAGAAATAACCTAAAAGACCTTGATTTTCGTCATTCTAGACTTTACTTACACGCAATAAAATACCTCAATTGTAAACTTTTGCCTACTAAAAAACTTGAGTCCTTTTTTAGTCAAACTCAGAGAAAAGAATACACCTAAATTCAATTTTTAAATTCGAATAAGATTACTAATAAATCTGTTAAAGGATACGTGGTTTAATAAAAAAAATATCTCAGGAGTTTTTTAGCCTTTCTCGATAAAAAAAAGTTCATTTTAGATCTATAATATTCTAACGTTTACTAAGAAATCGTTTTTGATTGAAATGGAAAACAATCAATCCCATAATGAATTAGTTAATGCGTTGAAAGGAACTAACTAAACTCAAGAGTTTTTATTTCATTAGACCGATGAACTTAGTTAATCATATAATTCATATCAGCATCAAGTTTTCTTTTTAGCGTAATATTTTATCCTTGCTCTATGAATCTAAATTATTATTACGAGAATTTCTCGTAATAATAATTTAGATTTGCATTTTCATGTTATAAGTATTCATTTTTATATCTAACTTGGTCATCTCATTTGACCAATTGTAACTTCTTGTTTTGAATATTTAATTTGAACGATTATGAAAAGACTCAAAATAAATACTAATCTAAAATTATTTAAAATTATTAAATAAGTTAGTGCATATATTGATTTTTTATTGACTTTTTTCAAACGAGGTAAGATCCGGTGAATCGGAAACAGTTAATTAAGAATAAAAAACTTTTTTTTATGGAACAGACATATCAATATGCGTGGATAATACATTTCTTTCCACTTCCGGTTCCTATGTTAATAGCTTTGGGACTTCTTCTTTTTCCGACGACAACAAAAAGTCTTCGTCGTATGTGGTCTTTTCAGAGTGTTTTATTGTTAAGTATAGCCATGATTTTTTCTATGAATCTGTCTATTCAGCAAATAAATAGCAGTTATGTCTATCAATATGTATGGTCTTGGATTATCCATAATAATTTTTCTTTAGAATCTGGATACTTGATCGACCCGCTTACTTCTATGATGTTAATATTAATCACTACTATTGGAATTATGGTTCTTATTTATAGTGATAAGTATATGTCTCATGACCACGGATATTTGAGATTTTTTGCTTATATGAATTTTTTCAGTACTTCCATGTTGGGAGAGTTAGTAGTTCAAATTTGATACAAATTTATATTTTTTGGGAATTAGTTGGAATATGTTCGTATCTATTAATAGGATTTTGGTTCAGACGACCTGTTGCAGCAAGGCTTGTCGAAAGGCGTTTGTAACTAACGTGTTGGCGATTTTGGTTTATTATTAGGCATTTTAGGGTTTTATTGGGATAACAGGGAGATTCGAATTCGTTGATTTATTCCAAATCTTCATAACTT